CCCTCTCTCCACCTTCCCCTGCATTCTCTCCCCACCCCCTCTCTCAACCCTGCCCTGCATTCTCTCCCCATTCCTCTCTCCACCCTCCCCTGCAATCTCTCCCCCCTCCACCCTCCCCTGCACTCTCTGCCCACCCCCTCTGCCCTGGTCTTTATCATTTTAATACAAGAAGTTCAGAAAGCGAGAAGTAGACTTTGCCAGGTTAGAGAGGACTCCTTGGTTCACAGACTTGGATGAAAATGTTTCAGACTGTTTTTTTCTTTAGAGAGCTGAACTAGAGTGCTCACAGAGTGCTAGGTGAGACTCAGCGAGTGTGACTGCTTAGGTGTGAATCCCGCTCATCTGTGACTTCATGACTGCTTAGGTGTGAATCCCGCTCATCTGTGACTTCCTGGTCACTTACCCGTGGGAAACCACATGGGTTCTCTCTCTCTCTCTGTTAACGGCGGTGGAGGCGCTCGCCTTAGTCCACTGATTTGGTGAGGGGTGGGAGACTTGGGACACGGGAAGCACTTAGAGGATGTTGCCTGACCCACACTGACCTTACGGACACACATCGTGTTCTTCTCACTCACGCACTCGTCATTTTTGTCTGTAGGGTATTCAGCCTGATAAGGACATCGTTGTGGACACAATAACATTCTTATGGCAGAAATGCAAGCTTGGGATTCAGAGGATCAACGTGTCCAAAAGCGACTTTGCAAAATATTCTCACAAGATCAGCACCAACAAAGTACTCCCTTTTGCTTTCCTTTCTCATGAGTTGTGTGATTTTTATTTTTTTTTTTATTTTTTTTATTTTTTTTTTTTAAAGATTTATTTATTATTTATACAGAAGAGGGTGCCAGATCTCATTACAGATGGTTGTGAGCCACTATGTGGTTGCTGGGAATTGAACTCAGGACCTCTGGAAGAGCAGTCGGTGCTCTTAACCTCTGAGCCATCTCTCCAGCCCATGATTTTTATTTTTTAATTCAAGTTGCGTACACATTTCCAATCTAGGCCTTCCCTAGGATCTATCCCATAACTCATATCCTTTGCAGATGTGGGCGGTAGGAGGCTGTTCTTTATAGTGCTTACTGAGCCTTCTTGGGATGTGTGCCCTGGCCCAGCTTGGTTTCCAAGAGTGGAAAACGGTTTCATTTTTAAAGGAAGGAACAAATACAACATGTCTAGGCCGTATGAGCTTGGATGGCATTTATCAAGAAGAGTAAAAATAAGAGTACGAATAAGTCAGGAGCACCAGGGTCCTTTTCTCCCTTCGATAATAATATATTAGAGTGCTCCTCAATAATATATATTAGAGTGCTCCTCAATAATATATATTAGAGTGCTGCTCCATAATATATATTAGAGTGCTCCTTGATAATGTATATTAGAACTCTCCTTGATAATATATATTACTTAACAGAGCTGTTGCCTACCCCCCCCCCCCGCCCCTGCCCCGCCACTGGAAGGAGAAAGTGGAGGATTTGAGCATTATAAAACTGGGAACTTAGATAAAATATTTAGTGACAAATGTCTTCTTATTTCTAGTGTGCCTGAGCTTTCTACAACAAACTGTACTGATCTAACATTTTGGTCATGTTCTCTTTTAAGTGATAGTATGGGTAGATAAATACCATTTCATCACAGGTCTCAGAGAATGCCAGCTGGTTCATGTGCTCTCCTTTGGGGACATAGTCATGAAAGTCCATTTCTGAGCACCTGCAGTGGGGCCAGAAACACCTGGCCACTTGGCTGACTTTGTACTTTGAGAATATAGCAAATATTGATGATATGGAACAATAACATCATAAAGTTTCATTGTAGCTGCAGGCATGCACTTTATAAGCAGGTGAATATTTATGGATGTTTGTAAACACATTTATTGTTAAATATTTCATTAAATTCACTCTGTGTTGTTTATGATTAAAATACATTAATAAAGAGGCCTATATAATGCTTGGTTGTGGTCAGGGAGAACTAAAATGTGAAAACTTTGCCTCTTCATACAATTTACTGTTAACTGATTTTGATTTGCATTTTCTTTTTGTAGTGGGTTTATCTCCTGTGGCACATAAGTGAAGTGATTCACTGCTATCAACTGGAAGATTTGGACATTGTGATGGTGTCAGAGATCACCTTACGAATAACTGAGATCTTAGAGTCTTTGGGGAGCCCCAAAAGAAAATTCAGAAAATCTGCAGGTACATGATAGAGGAAATGCATGATGAGACTTAGCATCTGCATGGACAAACAGCGATGTAGACATAAATTAGAATACAGGATAACTGCCGTTCACAGGAGCTAGGCAGAATGGTGCAGGTAAATGGGGGAAATGGCAGACGCCCTGTGGTTTGAGGCTGGGCAAGGCCTCTCCCTCATCTGTACATCCCCCTCTCCATTCCTCATCACCACACACTCCACCTTTGCCAGCTTCCTTCCTCTCCCTTCCTCTCTCACTTCCCTTTCATGTCTTTCCTCATTCATTTCTCAGCAAACCCTTCACGAATGAAGAAAGCATGTTTGTGTGCTGCTGCATTCTGGGCCCCCACCACACTGCCTGGCACAGAGAAACACTCTCCATTGAGTATTTGTGCGAGGAAGCAATGGTCTGCCATTTTTTTATTATCTCATTCCTAATTTGCTGTCAGGGCTGCTGCTCAGGGCTGTAAAATGGTGCCTGGTTTCCCTCTTCAGAATTTTCATAGTATCCAGTAGGATAAGTAGGCTTTGTTTTTGTTTTTAATGAGATGAGGTCTCTGTTAGCCCAGGCTGGCCTTGAACTCGCTGTGTAGCAAAGGCTGCACTTGAACTCCTGATCTGTTCGCCTCTACCCCAAGTATTGGGGCTGCAAACCTGTGTTACCATTCCTGGTTCACCTTCCTGCCTTTCTACACCCGCGATTTCCTCTTCCAAGCTCCTTGCCACATATTTATTATTTTATTATCTTCTTAGCTTATGAGTCTAAAAAGTATTTTCTATCTTTTCTGCAGTCAAGAGACATTTTCTAGATTGCCTGTTCCTGGAAGCAAAAAGCCAAAACGATTCCATCTTTAAAAGTCTGTTTCTTATTCAGTTTTACTGTTTCATGCACGAGTTACTTTTGGAAGATAATTGTTTTACACTGTTCATCACTGGGCTAAATACAACCTAAGGCTTTCATTCTTTGTTAAGAAATTGCTGTCAACACTGGAATATGGGCTATTTATGAATGAATATGTTGTTTCATTGGAGTTATTAAATATGTTTTTAAAATAGGAAATATTGTGTTGCTTTAAAATATTTATAATTTATATTCCTCTAGTTTGGGCTGGATTTCTTCGGTATTTGTCTAAGTCCATAAGGTTGTGCATTCTTTTAAATGGATTTTATAGAACACAGGGATGAGCAATGACTTAAGACTCCCCTGGTGCCGCCACCTTGTTGAGAAACAATTCTTGAGGTTTTTTTTTTTTCAAGATTATTTGATATAAGTAAAACTTAAAGTACACGAAAGAAACGTTTTGATATCTTGTCAAATTCTGATAATGAGTCATTTCTAAGATCATTAATTAAGAAAGATAACTGATTTAGTAGACTGGTTTAATAATCCAGATTCACATTTTGTCTCCTCTCCCATCCTTCTGTATTTCCCTTTTTTTCCTTCTGTCTTGCTCTCATTTCTTCCTCATCTCTTTCTTTTTCCTCACTTCCTTTCCTTTTCAGAATTATCTGCAAAAAAAGGGCCTGAGGAGTTCCCGGGGACTCCAAAGGGGATCCCGGAAGTCCTTCCAATATTAAAGGTACTGCAATATATTATGGAGAACACGTTTAAAAATGTGAATTTTTATTTTCAATATCAAATTTACAAATGCATAGTGGTTCATTATAGAAATGTCTCTGGGTGTTGAAGCTTGAAGAATTTCTGTTGCTGTGTGTATTGGTCACTACAGACACACCTTCCCACTTGACCTTCCCTCTAGAACAGGTACCATCAGTCCTAAATGAAGGTTTAACACAGAAACCTAGACAGTCTTAGTGTGTGTATGTGTGTGAGTTTGTACACATGAATGCAGTACCTGTAGAAGCCACAAGAGGGTATCAGATCTCCCGGAACTAGAGTTACACAGATGTGAGTCACTGGAGGAAGGAGGCGTTGAAATCAAATCCAGGTCCTTTGTTGTATTTGCTCCTTCCTTTAAAAATGAAACCCCACCTTTAACCATTAAGCATCTCTCCAACGGAGGTCTTGCCATTACATTATCACTGCTTGTTTGAATATGTCCTGAGCCAGAGATTTCAAGGGTGGGGATGCTCCGCTCAGCACGTGCCTCTGGCAGGCTGAATGAGTTCTTACCTGATTGAAACGCACCAAGGATGCTGATGGCGGTTGGGAGTGCTTAGTAAGCTTTGTCTTGAAGGAGAAACGGTGGGGAGCTATACGGCGGTTTATCATTGTTTGCTTTTCTTACCATATTTGAATTACTTCTCTACATGAGCATTGCCGTCTAGATCTGAATGGAGCAGCCTCACATACACAGCCAACATCTACCTGTTTGGAGGCAGCGTCCAGAGCAGTGCCTGTCGCCTGTCCTCTGTGATTCTGGTCCTGTGCTTCATGAATAGAAGTCATAGCAAACAGCCACGGATGCTTTTAAGTAAACACAATAGGTTCCTTTGCTGTGGAATTTCCCAGGGGTCACTTGGCCTATAAGCTGTGTGATTTTTCTAAGGCGATGTAGAATACCATGTGTTTTATTATCTGAGAACAAAACACTTCTTATTCATTGTGGAGCATGTACCAGGCCCCCCCATGTTTTATGGATGACTTTTAAAATGTTTCCCTAGCGAGGAAGCCAGTGAATGTTTTGATTTGTCTGATAAACTGTAGACTAAGTTATGAGAGTTGCATTGATATTGGGGGGTGTTTAACAATATACAAAACAAAAATATACGACTTTATTGTCTTGATATCCCATGTCATTTTCTATGCCCTCACATCCTATTTCAGTTTATCATATATATATGTTTTGTTTATATATTGTTATTATATATAAACAATAATAATATATGTAATTATATATATATTGTTTTTTTGAGACGGGGTTTCTCTGTATAACAGCTCTGACTGTCCTGGAACTCACTCTGTAGACCAAGCTGGCCTTGAACTCACAGATACCTGCCTGCCTCTGCCTCCCGAGTGCTGGGATTAAAGGCGTATGCACCAGCGCCCGGTTCATGTTTTTAACTTGTCGTGTTCCGCTGCTTTTTGTAACATTATTTTGGCGGCACTTGCCCTGTTGGTTGCTATCAGCCCTTCTCACTGCTATCTTTTTCGAAACCTCTGGAGATTCTTATAATGAAGCTTAAGACATTGAGTAGTTTTGGACAGTTTCCCTTAGGATCCCTGACGGATTGGTTCTGGAATCCTCCCCGGTGCTAACATCAATGAGCAGGCTGTCTCTTGTGTAAGGTGGTGCAGTGTTTATCTAGAAGCTGGGCTTGCCCTCCCGGATACTTTACCGTCTCCTAGATTACTCTTAATATGGAACACAGTGAATTGTGTAACTAGCATACTGTTTTGTTTAGGAAACAGTGACAAGAAAATGTCTGTATACGTTCAGTAGATTCAGTATTTTCTTTCTTTCTTTTGTGTGTGTGTGTGTGTGTGTGTGTGTGTGTGTTCCTGTTAGGTTGGAACCCCTAACCCTACTTCCCCCGACCCCACCCACACTGAGAAAACTCTGAACACAGGAATGGTGCCAAAAGTCCAGTTCCACGTTTCTGGCAGGCAATGCAACCCAGCTTTCTGACATGGCCAGCCCACTCAAGTGCCCACCCAGGGACTGAGCTTTTGACTCTACTTGGGCACAATCCCAGCTCCTGGCTGACACGTCATCACCCCTCACCTAATGTCTATAAAACCTCTCTGCCTTAGCCCAGGCACTGGACTTCCCTGGCCCCTTCTTTGGGACTGGTGAACCCATCCAGGAGCAATGCCAAATAAACCTTTATTTCTCTGCTTTTAATCTGGTCTGATCTGGCATTTTGCATCAGCAGAAACCTATCATCTGGTGCTGAATCCTGGGAAGAGTTGAGCCCCCAGCCTGAAGTCAGGGCCCCTGGCCGCTTGGGGACCGGTTCCCTGTCTCCTCTCCCCAGACATACTGGGTACCTCTCTGGGTTCAGCACCCCAGGCTTCCTGTCAAGAGTCATGGCCGTGCCAGAGCAAGCCCATTCCAGAACAGAAACAGTCTCTGTTCCGGGGAGCCTTGCTGGATTGGGGGACATCCCTCCCAAGGCTACCCCACCCCTACTACGGACTCCCCGCTACTGCAGGGGATGCCTCGCTCTAGTCTTTGGTCTTTGGCGCAGGTTCAGGAATGGGCAACGCCGGATCTAAACCGGATCCTCAGTTGTCCCTGGGGTGCCTGATACAAAATTTATTCAAATCGGGGCTATCTTAGACTTTACGCCCCACACCCCTGATTTTCCTTTGTTCTGTGGCCTGGCCTCGGTACGCTCTGCCTAACCAGTCGAAATGGCCACCAGAGGGCACTCTTGATTTTAACATCCTCTGTGAGCTTGAAAATTTCTGCCTGTATGGGCACATGGTTTGAGTTCTCTTATGTCCAGGGCTTTGGGGGTCTGCTCCCACCCTTCCCTCTGTGGCCAGTGCTTGATGGCTCAAGTCTTGTTTATTTTTTATTTTTATTTTTATTTGAGACAGTGTTTCTCTGTGTAGCTTTGCTCCTTTCCTGGATCTCGCTCTGTAGACCAGGCTGGCCTCGAACTCACAGAGATCTGCCTGGCTCTGCCTCCCGAGTGCTGGGATTAAAGGCGTGTAGGGATGTCCTTTTATCTGGAGGCTCGGACCCTGAGCCCTCCGCCCCTGACTGAGCTGCCTGAGCCACTGGCGCCCCCCACTCGTTCCCAGAGCCATGCCCGCCCCTCCCCTTCTTCAGATGCATACTCCACCTAGTGGCCAGGCTTGCCCTCCTTCCCCATCCCTTCCTCCTTCTCCTCCCCCACCCCGAGACAAAGGCCGAGGGCCAGCCTCCTTCCCCTTCCCCACCCCTCTCCTTCTCCCTCCTGCTGGGTCACCCCCATCCCCTCACATCCACTTCCTTCCCACCCTGCGATGTCACAACCCACACTCTGGTCCCCATCTACACACTGGCCTACCCTCCCTGAGTCCTCCCCTGTGGCTTCTCACACGTGGTCCCCTGCAGACCGCCGCTCTCCTCTGCACTCCCTAAGAGATGGCGGGAGCCGAGGGGCTGTTGGGGTTCACGTCCCTTTCTCTTTCCAGGATCTCTTGCAGATTGAAAAGCGGCCAGGCTCCTTTTCTGCTAATCCCTCTGCCTACACCAGGGAGTTGGGCTGTCTTTCCAAACCTGTGACCAAACCTGGCACAAGGTTTATGTCATCCAGGGCTCCGCTCTCATACAGACCAGACTCACTTAGTGGACAGTACGGTCTCTGTGGGTGACATCGCAGTGCTGGCTACGGAACCCAACTGGGTTACCAGCCGGGTCAAAACGGCTGCCAGAGGAGGGACCTCATGGTCCTCTCTCTGCCTCCTTCAGGTCATGGAGACTGTCTGAAACAAAGTCGTTAATTTTAACAAGCTGACAAGGATCTGGCCATTTTTCCAAATCGACTACAAGAGACCATGATTCAACCTGCCTTGACCCCGCCTCCCCAGTGGCAGCCACGGTCCTGGCTACCCATTTCATCTCGCAGCTTATCTCCAGATATTAAACACACACACACACACACACACACACACACACACACACACACACACACACCTAAACTAAAAAAAGCTAAGAATGGTCCCCAAAGCCCCATGAAGGATTTGGTGAGGATGGCCTTTAAGGTTTTTAATGCCTGAGAGGAGGTGGTGAAGTCTTCCCGACAGGCTTGGCTACAACAAAAGGCTACACTCCAGGCCCAAGCCTTGGTAGCTCTGTTGAATTGAGGCTGATGGGCACTTCCAAAGAGGGAACCAGGGGGGTCCACAGGGCCCCATCCCACCCGGGTCCAGCCAAAGCCAACTCCTCCAGAAGCCTGCTTCAAATGCAGCCAGGAAGGCCACCGGTCCCGTAGCTGCCCCATCCCTGGTCACCCTCTAGACCATGCTTTGTTGGCCTGGCCATTTGGAAGATGAAGGACCCCTGTGTGGGCTTGTCCTCTGTGCCATACCAGGGAGGTCCACCTCACCAGCACAAGTACCTCAGACCCTTCTGGCCTTCAAGATCCTTGGCCTGGCAGAGGACTACTGTGCCCAGACTCTGAGATTCCCATCACCCTCACCAAGCCCAGGGTAGTGCTCTAGGTGGCAGGTAAGTCCATCATCTTCCTGGTGAACATGGGAGCTACCTTTTCTGTCTTGACCTCACACTCTGGTCCCATGGTTCCCTCGATGATTTCTGTCATGGGGTGGACGGAACCACCTCCTTCCTGTCCAAGACCCTGCCACTTCCTGTACCCTTGCAGGATGGTTCTTCTCACACTCTGTCTGCCCAGTGCCTTTACTTGGCTGCCGTATCCTCAGCCACTTTGGGGCCACCCTCTCTCTGGCCCCCATAATCTCTCCTGACTCCCATCTTCTTCCTATGGTTGCCTCACAGGTCCCTACCCCATACTGCCTGTCTCTACCCTCCCGGATCTGGTTGACCCTCAAGTATGGGGTATCTGTTGTTTGTTTTTTCTCTTTTGGGGGACCCATCACCCAGCTCCCAAATAAATCACATGGAGGCTTATTCTTAATTATGAATGCCCGGCCTTAGCTTGTCTT